TTAATCTATTGTAGAAAAATTTATCAACAGGAAAAGTATTGAAGATTAAGTGAGGTTCTGAATATATTTCATTGAAAGATTTTCTTCAGACATTTTTGTTATTGAAAAAGATGCTTAGAAATGTCTGAAGATAAAATAGGTGAACATTATTTATTACTTAAATGAAAGTATAAATAAAATGTTAGTGAATGGTGGAAAATATATTGTGTTCTACTTACAGTTACCACTGATATTCTGCTGGAATTTTTGGAAGTAGCATTCAATCATATTCTATTCTTTAGAAATTTGTATCCCAAAGAAATATTCGCAAGGAGAAAAATATATAGCACCATAGTGTATGTTTCCGAACATCCGGAGCTCAATGAGTACATAAAAAATGTTTTAAATGCAATTAGAGAGTTAGTGAAAGAGGATGAGAATAGTATTAAGGCGGTGAATCTTGTTTTCTACAACAAAAAGAAAGAACCGATTGAAAAATTTGTTTTTGATCTCGTTAAATTGCAAACAAATAACACAGAGTATGTATTCTCATGAAGAATTTTATAATGATTACATAAAACTATTACATAATTTAATACCTGTTTCAGGAAAGATCCATATTACTTGAAAACAGAAGAAGCATTAAGGACAATATGCTTAAAGCTATCAATGTGTGAGGCATACTTGAAACCACTGCCAGAGGACTCAACCTTCACCATAGAAATTCAAACATATGAAACTGCACATGTTGCACTCAATGAAAATCCACGCTGTGAAGATTTTCCATGGATTATCAATGAAAATGCTCTTGAGATAACTGAGAACAATTTGCTTCCCTTGAAAACTATCAAAACAGACTGTTTACATCTACAAATGTATGTTCTGGAGAATGAAAGTAATAAATATACAGATTAAATTATTCATATGTATTGTACACTTAATATGATATCATTAAATATTAATTGATGTACCATTTTTCTTTACCCCTATTGGTTGTTTTGTATCTGTATAATTGGATAGAAAAGAAAAGGAATAGGGATAAACAAGAATAGCACTAGTGAAATGCGTTAGACAAGGAAAGGAGTAGGGGTAAACAAGGATAACACGAGAGAAATGCGTTAGGCAAGGATAGAAACAGTGCCGCGTGTTAGACAAGGAAAGGAATAGCGGTAAACAAGGATAGGAATAGTGCCACGTGTTAGACAAGGAAAGGAGTAACGGTAGACGAGGATAGCAATAGTACCGTGTGTTAGACGGGGAAAGGAATAGCGGCAGATAAGGATAGCAACAGAACCGTGTGTTAGACAAGGAAAGCAATAGAGATAGACAAGGACAGAAAAAAGGGGCGATCCTGACTAACGCCATCTCGCGTTTGGCTTCGCGAACTAACGACTAGTTAATAGGATAACAGAATATAAACAGAGGTATTAGACAAGGAACGCACTAGTGTGCGACAAGGACAGAGAGAGAACGCTTCCTATTGGTTGGCGGGCACCCAAGCTCTACCAATCACGGTCTAAACCAAGTCGGTCGGTGAAAAATCATTAATAACTCATTAATTAAGATGATTCTGTGAACTTTTAGAGTTGAAGAATGAAGAGTGGACCTTCAGCAACTTTCCCATATACTTTTTAGTTTTCTAGACCCTTTCGATAATTAGTTATTAATATTTTTAGTAAGTGATGTCGGGGACGATACGCGTACCGTCAAGTATCTTTCTGGTATTTCAATAATTTCATAGCTTTCTACTAAATTCCCATGCAAATAACTACATGCATTTGAAAGGCAGGTCCTTTAGCTATATTCTTTTGTAAGTTTTATTACCATATTCCGTTTAGTTTAGAAGTTATTAAACATTATATCAGAGCGTCTTCTGTTCATCGTACTCGTATATAGTCAACTGTTATAAACAATTGCGAATATCTATGAATCTATCTATGAATTGTGAACTTTTAGTATTGAAGAATGAAGAGTGGACCTTCAGCAACATTCACATATACTTTTTAGTTCTCTAGACCCTTTCGATAATTAGTTATTAATATTTTTAGTAAGTGATGTCGGGGGCGATACGCGTACCGTCAGGTATCTTTCCGGTTTTTCAATAATTTCATAGCTTTCTACTAAATTCCCATGCAAATAACTACATGCATTTGAAAGGCAGGTCCTTTAGCTATATTCTTTTGTAAGTTTTATTAACATATTCCGTTTAGTTTA